AGCTAAAAACCATTAAAATTAGCTTAAAATTATCTATTTACTGGCGCAAACCGGAAGTCGCTCCGGGTTATGGRTCCGGGTACAGAGCCATTTTTAGTTTTTTCAAAAAAAAAATCATATCTCAAAAATTATGAGTCTTAGGGCAACAGGGTTTGTACAGGCGTGTTCTACGGTTAATTTTACATATAGTACTAGTTTTTCATAAGAATCAAAAAATTTTGATTTTTGTTCAAAATCGGTTATAGTGCTTATATTTTTAGCCTTATTCTTAATTTTATTACTCAATATCTCAAAAACTATGCATCGTAGAGTATTCTAACTAGTTGAATCGTGTTCAGCGKGTAATTTTACGTCTAGAAAACTATATTTCAACCTTTTTTGCCATTTAATTTATTTTTTAAATTGTTGAAATCGGGTCATAAATAAAAATTCCATAGCACCTACTGTTTATTTTAATCACCCTGTATTATTCCTAATTTTTAATTTACAAATTGTGCGATACAAAGACAGGCGTTGGTCCCCCCAAAGCCAAAGGCGTTTTTGAGAGCCACTTTTTGGTTTATGGGGGCCCAAACTTGGCTCTTATTTGGTACAAAATTCAAAGTCTCTTCACAATTTTCCAGGTTAATAGTAGGCGGGAGGACCCCTTCTTGGACCGCTTTAACCGTGAAGACAGTTTCGAGGTTCCCAGCAGCCCCCAATAAGTGTCCATGAGCCCCCTTAGTCGACGACACAGCTAAATTCTGACACAAATCCCCAAACAAGGTTTTAATCGCGGTTGTCTCAATCGCATCCCCAATGGGGGTCGAAGTCGCATGAGCGTTGATGTACCCCACAGCCCCCAACTCCACCCCAGCATCCCCCACAGCCCTACTCATGGCCAAAATAGCCCCCGTACCATCAGGCCTCGGCGCTGTCAAATGCGAAGCATCCCCTGATAGCCCATACCCCAAAATTTCCGCATAGATTTTAGCCCCCCTGTCTTTGGCGTGTCCCAACTCCTCCAAAACTAGGATCGCACTCCCTTCCCCCATCACAAACCCGTCGCGAGACTTATCAAACGGCCGGGACCCCTTTTCGGGGCTGTCGTTGAACCCAGTACTGAGAGCCCTCAACCGGCAAAATGCCGCGATGGCAAGGGGCGAAATGCACGCCTCGGCGCCCCCACACACCATCACGTCCGCGTCCCCATGTCTGATAAACCGGAAGGAGTCTCCGATGGCGTGAGCCCCCGTGGCACACGCCGTTGAAACGGCATGATTGGGCCCCCTGAAACCATACTTGATGCTAATCTGACCCGCGCACATGTTCGGCAAAATCCTAGGGACGAAAAAGGGGCTCACTTGGTTGTAGCCCCGCTTGAGGGCTTCACTAGTCTCGCAGATGTCCTCCAAGTCGACCATCCCCATACCGACGGCCACGCCGGTCCGGAGTCTCACACCCTCAGGGGGGCTCACAAGGGCTGAGTCAGTCAAGGCTTCATGTGCGGCTAGGAGGGCATAAGCGGTAGCAGCCCCCATGGTTTTCAACTCGGTTTTCTTGAAACGGGAGGATAGGTCAATCCGGGCCCCGTTTTCCTTAATCGTGCCGGCGATTCGACACGGCAAGGGGGCGTACGAAGCCCCCTCGAGCTTGGAAATGCCCGATTTGCCCCCAATTATCGACTCCCAAGCCTGAGTGAGGTTAAGACCGACGGGGGAAATAACCCCCATGCCGGTGACCACAACTCGGCGCTTCATTGACAAAAACAGTGTTTTTAAGAGTTTTGCATTGATTCCAACATCGTATTATTGGCTTTTTATTAATTTATAAAAATCTAAAACCTAACCTCACTTATAATTAGGCTTTTCGTGTTTTAGTCCCTTCGGACATTTTTCTAAACACGCAATTGAGAAATACTTAATTAATTAATTGAAACTGTCGTATAATTTAGTCTTAAAATTAAGCAATAATTTAATTAAAACGCAAAATAAAAATAAATTTAAGTTTCAATTTCGTTGTTTTGCACATTAGACCGGTACAGTTATATATTTTGTGGTTTAGCTTTTTTGTGCATTTTTTTTTACATACACGTAAAAAAATATTTAAATGTGCAGTTGGTACTCTTGTGTGTTTAGTTTACGAGCCAATTAATAATTTAAAAATAACGGTGGAACAATAATTTTATATTTTAATTTCGCCCTTTTGCGCATTGGGCCGAAAAGTGTTGGTAAATTTTTTTTGACATTCGAGAACGACGGTTGAGTGGGAGAGTGGGGTTATAAATCCGGCTAGAATAGCGAGAATTGGGCCCCCTTGTCGACGATGGCGTTAAATCCGCAATACGAGGCAATCGGGAAAGGGTTCGTGCAGCAATACTATGCCCTGTTCGACGAACCGAGCCAGCGGCCTAACTTGGCGAACATGTACAATGTGAGTTCACTTAAAACGCCGCCTCAGCCCCCCTAACTGTCTTTCCCCCAGATCGAGAGCTCCTTCATGACGTTCGAAGGCGTCCAACTGCAAGGCTCCGTGAAAATAATGGAAAAACTAACCGTAAGTGCCCCAAAACCCGCTTCAATTTTTCAAGTTTTTCTTCCAGAGTTTATCATTTAAAAAAATTAATCGAATAATCACGGCGGTGGACTCGCAACCCATGTTCGACGGCGGCGTCCTCATCAACGTCCTAGGCAGATTACAGGTGAGCCCCCTTGTCTCGTTTCGGGTGAATTGATGTCGTTTTGGTAGACCGATGAAGACATGCCTCATGCGTATCTTCAAACTTTCGTCTTGAAACCAATTGAGGGGAGTTTTTTTATCCAACACGATATTTTCCGACTTGTCCTTCATGACACTATTTAGTCAAAAAGGCAGTACGTATGTGTGTTGCGTTGTTTTGGGGCTGTCTTAGTTTAGTTTTTAATGGTTTTGAGACAACTTTTTTGATTGGTGTTTCGGTTTTCAGGCCGACGAAGACCCCCCACACGCATTTTCCCAAGTATTTGTTTTAAAACCTCTAGGAAACTCATTTTTTGTCCAACATGATATTTTCAGATTGGGGATTCACGACACTGCTTAAACTACTTGTTTCATTGCTTCATCATTAAAATAAACTATTTTATAAACTTTCATACAGTTTATTAATCAGGCAAGAATCCTCTTGGTGCGTTTCTGGGACCCCCCGAACCCCCTCAAACTCCTCATCGCCATGGCCTTGTTGAAGTGCCTCTGGGGCTTCACCTCCGCATACTCACCCTCCCCCATGTTATCCACCGACGACAAAATCACCAATAAAACACCTAAAACCTAAAAAAACATCGGTTATAACCCCTTTAACACCGGTTAATTACCAGGCAAATTATTATAACAAGGGTATAAACGTGTATACTCGCTGCTGGGAGTGTCTCCATCTCCTTGAGGGCTATTTGGGCCGGTTCAAATCCCGGTTTCAGCTCCAATGTGTGTTTTAAATGAATGGAAGCCTCCTGGTAGTGGCCATAAGCCTTGAGGATCTCCCCCAAGGTGAAATACTGCTGCCAGGCCCCCTTATCGGGCGACTGCACCTCCAATGATCGTCGTGTCAGGTAAATCGCGTCGTCTAAATACTGCAAAGTGAATAAAACTCGCGCCAGATTTAGGAGGACTTCGGCGTTGTGGGGGGACACGGCGAGGGCGCGTCGGAAGCACTCGATGGCCTTTTCGGCGTCCCCCTTGATGCGCCAGAAGTTGCCGATTTGGTTGTACAATTGCACCGATTTGGGTTTCTGAAAATTGTGAAAAAAAATTTTTCATAGATAGGCAACCAATAATACAATAATTTGTTAATTTCTTGTGTTGTCTCCATTATTATTATTGAATTTTTTTTTTTTTGAAGTTTTCGATAGTCAAGCACCGACTATGATTATTCGATTTAGAATAGTTAATATTTTACACAAAATAGTTTATGGAGTGTATAATATGTTGCCTATTTTTGCTCCAGTAGGATTCTAAATGCATCTTTATTTAAAGGCCGATTCACACAAAAAGTGTCATTAATGTCAAGTTTTTTTTATATGACAAATTTTGATGATAGTTTGGTCTATTTTAGTCTACTCCTACAAAAAAAAAAAAAACAAGAAATGTTCCTAAAAGCTTGAAAAAGGTAAGAAAAGTAAGTTTTACGGTCCAATTCCGTCATTTTTGTCCTGTTTTTAATATAATTTTGTAGCGAAAACACTTCTTTTGACATAATTTGGCGAGTTTTGATCTATTATACAGTTTAATCTCCAAAAAAGTGAAAATCTAGGTCAAAAACTTGTTTGAATGTAGTTTTTGACAAATTTTGCTTTTTGATCTGTTTTAGTCTAATCTTACAAAAAAAACTTGAGAATTTTGTCCAAAAACGTGCTCATTTTTTTTTTTTTTAAGTTTTCGATAGTCAAGCACCGACTATGATTATTCGATTTAGAATAGTTAATATTTTACACAAAATAGTTTATGAAGTGTATAATATGTTGCCTATTTCTGCTCCAACAAATAAAATGGGCACCTATCAAGTAGGTTGTAGAATTCTAAATGCATCTTTATTTAAAGGCCGATTTACACAAAAGTGTCATTAATGTATTTAATCACATCAATAATGACAAAAATCCTCCCTATGTTAATTACGTTGTTAATTTTAATCATTTATTTGAAGATTAGACTAAAATAGACCAAACTATCATCAAAATGTGTTAAAAAGTTGCCATTTTCTAAAAGTTTAGTATGTTTTTATGCCAGAAACGAAGAAATTTCATAAAATTTTGTTCAAACAAACTGAAAAATCACACAACTAGGCTGAAAATGGTGTTATTTTTACCTAATTTGAAAGTCTAAGCACGTTTTTAAGCTGATAACTCCGTTTTTTCGCAAAACGTAACCTTGCTTAAAAAAATCTAGTAACTTTTTTTTTGAGTTGGCGACATTGAAAAAATGTTGCATCATTGACGTTTCGTGTGACAGTTGACGGTTTTTCCAACTTTTGAGCATATTTTTGGACTAAATTTTCAAGTTTTTTTATGACAAATTTTGATGATAGTTTGGTCTATTTTAGTCTAATCTTACAAAAAAAAACAAGAAATGTTCCTACAAGCTTGAAAAAGGTAAGAAAAGTAAGTTTTACGGTCCAATTCCGTCATTTTTCTCCTGTTTTTAACATAATTTTGTATGCGAAAACACTTCTTTTGACATAATTTGGTGATTTTTGATCTATTATACAGTTTAATCTCCAAAAAAGCAAAAATTTAGGTCAAAAACTTGTTTGAATGTAATTTTTGTCAAATTTTGCTGATTTTTTGATCTATTTTAGTCTAATCATATAAAAAAAAACTTGAGAATTTAGTCCAAAAATGTGCTCAAATTTATTTTTATTTTTTGAAGTTTTCGATAGTCAAGCACCGACTATGATTATTCGATTTAGAATAGTTAATATTTTACACAAAATAGTTAATGAAGTGTATAATATGTTGCCTGTTTTTGCTCCTTCAGGGGTAAACAAATAAAATGGGCACCCATCAAGTAGGTTGTAGAATTCTAAATACATCTTTATTTAAAGGCCGATTCACACAAAAAGTGTGATTAATGTCATTTAATCACACCAAAAATGACAAAAACCCTCCCTGTTGTTAATTTTAATCATTGTTTGCTACCTGGGGTGCACATTTATTTGAAAAAATAATTTTTGGAAAGATTTCATAGATAAAATAAAATTTCATAGATAGGCAACCAATAATACAATAATTTGTTAATTTCTTGCTGTTGTTACCATAATTACACATTTGAATTAATTTTTTTCGAAGTTTTCGATAGTCTAGCACCGACTATGATTATTCGACTTAAAATAATTAATACTTTCTACAAAATAGTTTATGAAATGTATAATATGTTGCCTATTTTTGCTCCTTAAGGGGTAACAAATGTGCATAAAGTAGGTCTAAATGCATCTTTATTTAACGGCCGATTCGCACAAAAAGTGTCATTAATGTCATTTAATCACGTCAATAACGTTGTTAATTTTAATCATTGTTTGCTACTTGGGGTGCACATTTATTTGAAAAAATAATTTTTGAGATTGAGGTTAGGATTGTTTGAATTTTTGCATGGTTGTCACCCCTGTTGACGACTACTTCGATGCATTTAATATGAAAATAAGCTTTTTTCTTAAATTTACCTCTCGTTTGGCTTTTTTCAGTTTGCGTTCCAATGCGTCCACATCGAAGTCTTTCTTTTTCGTTCGTTTGGTGAAAATTAGCGCTGCGTGGGGCTCAGGTACGGTGGGGTGTTTGTGTCGGTTTAGGACCCCCACGAGGTTGTCGTAGTAGGTGAAATTGACGGGTTTGCCACAATCGAGGACTTCGTCCGGTTCGGGGGGTTTCACAACCACATTTGTGCTATTTACAAGTCTACAACTCGATTTTTTGGGGTTTTTTTACCAAAAAAATTTCACTTACTTTAGATTTTTAACGTGACAGTTGGTGCAGTAATGTTCGACTCGTTCTTTTATCCACGAATGTCCCAAATGGACTGTTGATGTTATTATATTGAAAATGGGGTCGTCTTCTGTGATAAATTGTACCCCATTTGAGACAACTTGATGGAAGGAATTGGCCTCGATGATTTTCGTTTGGTCTGAATTGAGTTTCCACAGTGTTGAGGTGCGTGAATTTGTCGAGATTATCTCAAAACATAACATGTAAAGTGTTAAATTAATTAATTGTTGAGAAGCACCGCTCATATTGACTAGAACGTTTCAGGTATTTTTGATAAAGTTGACAAGTTTGTGGATTTAGGATTGAATTACGTGAGTTTTAATTTCAATTGAGGCAAAGTCGGATTTCATTGCCATTGCTTGGTATTGAGTATTTTTCAATTTTTGGTGCTAATAACTAACTGTCAAATGAAACGTCAATGTGACATTTCTTTTTGCCAACTCAATAAAATTCACCAGATGGGAGATGGAAAGTTACTAGATTTGAATCGTTGCAAGTGGCAAAGGTTACGTTTTTGTGTGGTCAAACTCAAAAAAATCGCGAAATACGTCGAAAAATGTACTAAAACGTCTGGATAATGGCAAAAATGTGATTTTTCGATCTATTTTAGTCTAATCTTACAAAAAAAAAACTGAGAATTTAGTTCAAAAATGTGCTTAAAAGCAATGTAACATTTTTTATGTCACCAACTCAAAAAAATACCAGATATGAGCTGAAAAATTACTAGATTTACACCTTTTTTAAAATCTTGTCAATAGTGGTAAAGGTTACGTTTTTTTTTACATATCTTGCGAAAAAAAAAAACAGAATTTTTAGTTCAAAAACGTGATTAAACTCTCAAAGAAGACAATTCTCGGCTTAATTATATAATTTTTCGGTTTATATGAACCAAATACCAAAACGTATTAAAATCTTTAAAAAACGTAAAAATGTGTTTTTTGAGTTATTTTGGTAATTTTTTGGTCTATTTTTGTCTAATTTTACAAAAAACTGAGAAGCCAGAAATGTGCTTAAATGCTTGAAAAAGGTAAAATAATTCCATTTTTGACTAAAGTATGTGATTTTTCGATTTTTTGAGCAAAATTTTAAGAAATAATTTCGTTTCTGTTCTGAAATCGTATTAAAATCTTCAGAAAATGTAATTTTTGACAAATTTTGCTGATTTTTTTATCTATTTTAGCCTAATCTTATTAAAAAAAACTTGAAAATTTAGTCCAAAATGTGCTCAAAAGCTGGAAAAACCGTCAACTGTCACACGAAACCCAACCCAAAAAAAAAACAAAGTTACTAGATTTTTTAACCAAAGTTACGTTTTTTTTAATGGCTTGCGAAAAAAAGTTTTCAGCTTAAAAGTGTGATTAAACTTTCAAGTTGGGTAAAAATAACACCATTTCCAGCCTAGTTTTGTGAAATTTCAGTTCGTTTGAACTAAACTTTCAGAAAATGTCAATTTTTTCACAAATTTTGGTGATTTTTTGGCCTGTTTTAGTCTAATCTCACAAAAAAAAAAAAAACAGGAAATGTCCCTAGAAGCTTGAAAAAGGTAAGTAAGAAAAGCAAGTTTTACGGTGTCTTGTTTTTAACAAAATTTTGTATACGGTTTAATCTCCAAAAAAGTGAAAAATTTATGTCAAAAACGTGTTTGAATACTTGAAGAAGCAAAGTGACTCCGTTTTTGACCAAATTTTGTAGTTTTTCGACCCATTTTTAACAAAAATTAAATTTAATCACTCTAGGCAGTTTTAACAAAATTATTTATTAAAAATTAAAATTATTTCAAAAAAAATCTGCCGCTAGGACGAAAATCCCCAGATCTGGTGAAATTTCACTAGATTTGGCAACTTTGAATTTCTTTAAGTATCGACATTTTTTAAGCACCGAATTATCTGTGTCCTATTTACAACACAACTAATGGAAATGAGTAAAAAAGCCAATTTAATTAATTACTTTGGGGCCAAATCCCCTTTTGTGGTTTGTGTTGGCCACCCTGCGCGTGACATTTCCCTAACCTCTAAACAAGCCGGTTGTGTTTGGACGCGTCCTCAAACCCGCTAGTTTGTGTCTCAATTCGCGCCGTGTGTCACTCCGCGCGCCCCCTGGGTGTCCCCGTGCGCCCCTCTAGCACACAGTGTCCCCCCATCGCTTCAAAATCTCCAAAACCGACGACCATTTTGTCGTAACAATGTCGGAAAAACCCGCAGCGAAAAAGGCAAAAACCGGCGACGAAGCCAACAATTTGGAGGACTCCACCGCCGAGGCGGACATGGACTCGGCCATAATCGACCTGGAGATGTGCCACAACGAGTTGGACAAACTCAACGAGAAGGAAAACGAGGAAGTGATCGCCTTGGACCAGAAATACAGAAAATTGCGACAGGAATGCTACGACAAACGCAGCAAAATCATCGAGAAAATCCCCGATTTCTGGTTCACGGTCTTCACCGGCCACCCGGACTTGTGCAACATCCTCACCGAGGAGGAGGAGGACTGTTTACACTACCTCCGGAAGCTGGAGGTGGACATGGCCGACAACAACTCCGGCTACAGCATCAAGTTCCACTTCAAGGAGAACCCCCACTTCGGGAACGAGCTCCTCGTCAAGGAGATCTCCTACAAACAGGACAAAATGGCCTCAGTGAGCACCAAAATCGAGTGGTTGAAGCCGCAGAAGAAGCCGGCGGCCAAGACCCCCGGGAAAAAGCGGACCAAGGACGAGCCCAAGTCCTTCTTCACCTGGTTCAGCAGTAACGACGACCCGGCCAATGACAAAATCGCTGAAATTATCAAGGACGACGTGTGGGCCAACACGCTCCAGTATTATCTCCCCGATCCGGACATGGAGGGCGAGGACGACAGCAATGAGAGCTCTGAGGGGGAGGATGAAGGGGAGGAGACCAACGGGGACAAGAAGACTGCACAAGCGACAGGAGATGCGGCTTCATCAAATTAATTATGGAGTAGATTAGTCCAACACTGTATTTTTTTAATTTTTATTGAGGCTTAATCTCAGTTAGTCTAAGTGAGTTTCATTTATTTAGTAATTGTGTATTTATGTGACTTTTGTGAAAATTAAATCTTTTCTATGACACACAAGTGTTTCACTCTTGTAAAAACTGAAAAAAAATGCGTGTTTATTTGGTTGCCTAACCATACTCTATATTTAGTTGCATAATATTCAACAAATTTTTAATTTCATATAAAATAAACTCAATTGCACGTGTGTGTATTTGAATTCAATCAAAATTGTATTATTTTATTTTGCTTTCTTGTCACCATTAATAAAAAGTGACAATTGTTTGATTGGTTGCCTAACCATTCGTATTTTAGACAAAACAATTGACAAATAAAAACTGATACCAACTTTAATGCTGATTGGTATATTTATGTTGCAAAAATTGATCATCAAAATAAAGCTACATAAATTGTTTTGTCTTATTGTTGGTTTAATTACACTTGTATAATTGGTTGCATACTTTAGAAAATTTGAATTATTTACATGTTTTTTCAGACTAAGTCTATTAAAACACCCAAATGACGTCATTTGAGTGCTTTAATAAGTTGTTGGTGTTATTTTAATTTCAGTGAGGGACTTTAAATAATACAAATATATTTTTTGTTTTTATTTATCATAGCCGCCTAATTTTTGTCTTTTAATTTATAAAATGATATAGAGCGGCTAAATAGGAAAAACAGTATAAAACACTTGTTGCAGAAGTTTCTTCAAGCACTCATTTGTTCCTCAAATTCGTGCAACTTGCATTTTAATATAATATTATTTAAAAAAAAAATAATTAAAATACAGTGTATTTTATTTAAACTACAATTTATTTTTTTGATAATTCTAAATATTGTTTATTTAATATGTTGTACGTTGTTTAATTAATTGTTAACTTCATGAGCGTATATTTGGTTGCATATTTTTTGACAAATTTAAAGCAGTTTTCTAATTGCATATAAATATAAAACTAAATTACAAATTACACTTTTACTTATCTAAATTAAATTAATATGGTATTAACTAATAACTGTCTGTTATCATTAATAATAAAAAACTGTTATTGGGCTGTTTAATTGGTTGCCTAATTATGGTTGTTTTACTTCATTAAAAATTAGCAAAAGTTATTAAAATAAGACAATTTAGAAATTAACAGCTATAGTGTTTTTATTTTATAAAAAAAGTAAGTCAAAATTACAAAAACAGTGTTTTTATCATTATATAATTGGATGCATACTTAAAAAAAATTGAGTTGTTAACATGTTTTTTTCTATTTTGTCATTTGAGTGCTTTAATAAGTTGTTGGCGTTATTTTAATTTTAGTGAGGGACTTTCAAATGTGAAAATAGGAAACTCACAATTTATAAAATGTCACCAACCGTCGCAAAATTCCCTAGATTTTTGTCTTATAATTTATAAAATGATATAAAGCAGCAAAATAGGAAAAATAGTATAAAACACTCGTTGCAGAAGGCTCTTCAAGCACTCATTTGTCCTCAAATTCGTGCTTGAATAGAAACTTTCTGTAACTTGTGTTTTAATATAATATTAATATTATTTAAAAAAAAAATAATAATTAACTAAAATACATTGTATTTTTATTTAAACTACAATTTAATTTTTCTATAATTAAGGGTCGGTTTTTCAACCGTTGGTTAACCTCTAATTAATAGGTTTCTATGGAAATTTTTGCAATTTCACCAATCAAAATGCTGCATTTTTAGTTTAACTAGAGGTTTAACTTTAACCAACGATTGAAAAACCGGCCCTAAATATTTATTGTTTATTTATGATGTACTTTGTTTAATTAATTGTTTAACTTCATGACCGTATATTTGGTTGCATATATTTTGGACAAATTTAAAGCAGTTTTTTAATTGCATATAAAAATAAACCTGAATTACAAATTAGACTTCTATTTATTTAAATTATATTAATATTTTATTAACTAATAAATGTTTGTTATCAATAATAATAAAAAAACTGGGTTGTTTAATTGGTTGCCTACTTATTGTTGTTTTATTTGATTAAAAGTTAGCAAAAGTTATTAAAATAATACACTTAAAAAAACAATTATAGTATTTTTTAAGATTATTTTATAAAAAAAATAAGTCACAATCACAGAAACACTGTTTTTATCGTTATATAATTGGTTGCATACCTAAAGGTTAAAAATACTCGGCATTTTTTATTATTATTACTCAAAAAATAAAATACAAACCAACCAAAATGCATTGCATTTTCATTCAAACTGCAATTTAATTTTTATATCATCAATGGATAACTAATAACAAATATTATTACTTACTCGAAAACTAAAAGAAATTTCGAAAAATGTTATTCTTGATTAATTGTACATACTTTACGCTACACTAATTATTTTTTTCGTAAAGTGCTTAGTTTACGAAAAAAACGCTTGGTTCCATACTTTTTATTCACCTGGTATATTTGTTTCCTTTAAGTGTGTTTATGACTTTGTGTTTCGATTTTTTACCATTTTTTTATCATCACTGATAAGAAAATACCTCAAAAGCAATAATTTTAATCGTACTTTTATCACAGGTAAATAAAATATTTATTATTCGATACCAAACAGCCGATAGCATTCATAAATAATCCTTCATTTTTAATTAAAACAGTACATTTTTGACATTGTAAACAAGGTATATACAAGTTTCACTTTTAGTTATTTATTTATTTGAAATAATGAAATAAATAAGTGGAAGTTACAAAAATACCCAACTATTGTCCCCTATTGCATCAGTCTATGACTCAAACCCCCATTTCAATAATTCAGTTCAAATCGAACGCTATTTCCGCCTCCTCACCTCCCATTGGCCGCTTGCAATTGTTCTATATCCCTCACAGCCAATCACAAATCACCACATAAGTCCAACGCCGACTTTGACGTCATTCGATACCATTTCTAGAAAACGCACTCCCAGAACAAAATATTCATCAGTCACGACGTCAACCAAGTAACATCTTTTATAATATACAGTGTGTCGCTAAAAATTAAATTTGAATCAGAAAAAAGAGAGTCGTTTCCGGTTTGTCGCCATGACGAGTGCAGTTCCGGCCATTTTAAAGTATTTGAGTGACAGCAGTAATTACAATATCGACCAAAATATGGAAGCCCCCGTGAGGGCTAAAAAGAGGCGCCTGGACCATCTCACATGGGAGGAAAAACTACAAAGAAAGTAGGTTTAGACATTTTTTTTTTATTAAAAAAATCCAACTAAATTCAACCACGGCGTCCTTGAGATTAATTGAGGAGGCCGTGATTAAAACAAATATTAATTAAAAGAGATTAAATTAAGTAAACAGACGTAAATAATGACTTTGTACGATGTTGTTTTGTTTAAACTTTTATTTATACGAAATAATTTATTTGACAAATGACAAGGGCGACTTTATCGACATGGTGGTGTTAGAAATTGACAATTTACGATTTTTAGTTGTTTGTAATTGAAGTTTTTGGTCTTGTTCGTCGTAATTACGACGTTTTATTGACTTTCTAAATATATTTGTGTTTTATTGTGTCTTTTGAATTAATTTTGTCACTTTTATATAGTTCTACCACATCGATAAAAGTCTAGTGTTTTACGTGATTTTTCGCATTTTTAAAGTCTTAAACCACTAGTTTTTTTTGTATTTAACGTCGTGAACACAACATTGACAAAAACAAACCGTATTGATTTATTTTTTTACTACTTTGATTTTTTCATTTTGTGGTGGGCATACAGTGTGTGCCCAACTTCGAAACCCGGCCCATATCTCCCTTATTATTGGGTGTTTTTCGGTGAAATTTCTTGTGGTAGCACTGTTTTTGCTGCTCTTTCAGGAAACTGAAAAACCGCGTGGCTGCACAGACGTCCCGCGACCGCAAGAAGGCCAAAATGGACCAGATGGAGAAGGCCCTCCAGGAGTTGTTCTCCAAGAACGAGGTTCTAGTCGAGGAATGCGAACGCTTGAAGAGTTTGAACGAGAGGTTATCGGCAGAGAACGCCACGCTTCGTGGCCGATTTTCAGCATGCAGTTGCCCCCAGAGCCGGTCTGTCGAATGTGAGAGTGCAAGTGGACCAGCCGTGTCCCTTCTTCGGCCGCAAGGAACACTCACACATTCAGCAGCGGCTCTGAGCCGCCAACAAACGGCACTGTTGAAGATTGTGCTGGCTTGCCTTCTCTACCGGACCTCCTTGACGAACTCAACAGCGACGTGGACATCTCCTCCTTGGAGCAACTCACGCAGAGCCTCCTTCAGGATATCGCCAGAGACCTGGAGGCTGCTGCTGAAAAGGCAGATATTCAAGTAAGTGAAATTTTTTCAGGAAACTTTCATCCAAACTCCAATTAAAGTCATACAATTTTAATTTTCTAGATACCTTGATGATTTAACAATTGATAGAGGCGTTAAAAATGAAGATGCAAGGTGATTCATGTTGTCCTTGTCTCTCACCAATTGCATGAAATGCACGTGTTAGAGAGAGATGAACGATTGTAGTGTTGGGCTATAATAGGCCATCTCTCTCTCACAACTGTCACACAAGACACCTGTCACTTGTCAATTGTTGTCTCATCACTTGATTTTGCTGTAGCGAAGCTTGATAGCCCCCTTTTTAGGAACAAACAACTTGTCATGAAGACAGTCCAAGACAAGTGGTGGGGGCGCCACCAGAACAATTGGAATCCGATGGAAGTGAAGTGTTGAATGAAAATCAAGATCCACTCATTAAAGATATCTCACAGTATCTTTTACTACATCACAATTACAGCGCAAGGCCGCCAACTGAAGAAAATCAAAAAGCACCACGACACACGAGCACGACGCGAGTAAAAAAACTAGATAAATTAGCTCCAGATGTTGTCTATGGTACCTACGATGAGAGCACTAATTGTATCACAATTATTGTGGATGATGAGGGAGTTGGGTGTGGTTCCCCGCTGACGAGTACTGAAGATGAGGAGCATTTGACGGTCGAAACGTCAGTTGGGGGGGTTTCCCCGCGCTCGAGTTCGAGCTCGGATTGTGGGTATGAGTCGCTTGGCTCGCCTGAGAGTCTGTGGGATGACAGTGTCTCAGAATTGTTCCCATCTCTTTTGTAATCAACTATTTACTATTAAGGAGCTAATTTATTTTTATTTTTTTATGTATATAGTGTGAGGCAATAAAATTGTGTATGTAGTACGGGGGTGTTTTTTTGGAAATTTGAAATCATATTGCCTGTTGTTTTTTTTTTACTTTTTTTAATATTAATTTTTGGTAAGAAAAAACTTTGTTTTAGCCTTAAAAACGCAACTAAATGTTAAAAAATTAAAAAATTGGTTAAAGCCTTATTTTCTAATATAAACTTTGTGATAACTATTTCTTTATAAAAATATTTCAAGTTTAACAAAATATTTATAAATGAAATTCTAACGAAACAATATAAAAAAGTCCACTTTATGCTGTCCCGAAAATTAACATTCTCATTTAAAAGATTTTTTTCTTGTTTACTGGGTGTAATTTTGAAGCTTAGTTCATCGACTTTTCGAAAACGGTTTTCCATATTAAAACCATATTTTTCATTAAGAGACGAAATTATCTCGAAAAATTTAGACAAAAATATACCGAAAAGTCACCAAATTAAGTGAAAAATAATGAATTTTGCTTGTTTACATCACGTTTTTTTGTAAGATTCTGTTAAAACATATTGAAAAATTACCAAATTGGGTTGAGAATGACCTTTTTTATGATTTTTTGGGCGTTTTAGCACGTTTTTCAATCAAAAATTTACAAAATTATTTCCTCACAAATCGGTAAATTTACTTAAAAATGGTGTATTTTCACTTTTTTAGATTGTGCTAAATATTTTTTGACAATACCATTTTTCCGTTTTAGGACGTTTTTTAGTCAGAATCGAAAATGAGGTAAAAAATTAATAAACTATCACGAAACTAAAATTATTTTTCCTTCTTTGGAGAGTTTAAGCATGTTTTTGAGCCAAAAAATCATCTGGTTGCTTTTCCAAACGTTTTAGCAGACTTTTCAATTAAAAACACAAAAATAAGGCGAAAAATCACATAATTAATTCGAAAATTATGTTATTTTTGCTTTTTTCAAACATTTAGTTGCGTTTTTAAGTCTAAAACAAGGGTTTTTCTTTAATTTTTGCTAAAAAACATACCAAAAAATTAATACATATACCAGACTAAATAAAAAACGACATAATTTATGCTCTTTTCGAGCGTTTTAAAACATTTTTCAATAAAAAACGCAATTATTTCGCAAAATTGAAATAATTGCGTTTTTTATTGAAAAAGTAATTGAATTAAGTCAAAATAGTGTTATTTGTGCCTTTTTTAAACGATAAATATTAAATTAATAAAATATTAAATTAATAAAATATTAAATATTCCGGTTAGGTCGGTCTCAACTTTCTTATTTTAAATGGAAAGCTATATTTTTACTGCGTTTT